CCAGCGGTGCAGAGGGTCCCCAGGTGCGGACAGCAGATAGAAGTGCACACACACACACACACACACACACACGGAGACAGATAGCTCTGGGGCCCCAGACCGTAAGGAAGCTCGAAGCGCGATTGCATTCGCGCATAGACTCCAGAGAGAGTCGAGAAAGAGTGCCTGCGAGGCGTTCCGAAGGCAGCATGTGCTTCTGCCAGATCTGGCACAACGAAATCGCGCGCCTTCGGGGCTCGATCTGCCTTCCGAGAGCAGAATTCCAGATCAGTCTGGCCGTCCTCCTCCTCCAAAAGGCCTGAGCACGACCTGACGGGGAGGAGGAGGAGGAGGAGGAGGAGGAGGAGGAGGAGGAGAAGGAGGAGGAGGAGAACGAAGAGGAGGAGGAGGAGGAGGAGGAGGACGAGGAGGAGGAGGAGGAGGAGGAGGAGGACGAAGGAGGAGAAGGAGGAGGAGAAGGGAGAGGAGGAGGAGGAGGAGGAGGAGGAGGCGGAGAAGGAGAAGGAGAAGGAGAATGACGAGGAGGAGGAGGAGGAGGAGGAGGAGGAGGACCAGGAGGAGAGGTAGGAGGACGAGGAGGAGGAGGAGGAGGAGGAGGAGGAATTGGACAACGACAACAAAGACGACGACGGCGACGACGACGACGACGACGAGAAGAAGAAGGTAGGTGTAGGAGAAGGACGAGAAGGAGAAGGCAGGTGGAGGAGGCGGAGGGGAGGGCAGCAGCAGACAGAAGGAGGAGAGGATTGTGAAGTCAGAGAGAGTTGAGGTGGAGAAGGCAGGCGGAGGAGGAGGAGGAACGGAGGAACGGAGGAGGTGGAAGGAGCGAAAAGGAGAGCGAGGAAACGGAACCCTGAAGGGCACCTTTAGAGACTTTTCTTCACCCCCCATTTATCTAGGCCTCCTGGATGGGGTCCGAGTAGATGGGGTCGGAGGATCGCGCCGCATCGCCGATGCATCGGCGATGCGGCTCGATGTGAAGCCCGATTTTCTTCACGCCGACGTCGCCGACGCGTCGCCGACGTCGCCGATGCATCGTCGTTTCAAAAGCGATGTAGGAGGGCGAGGACGAGGCGTGGTTGACGGGCACTGCCCCAGGCTCTGCCGCGCTCTGAAATCCCACCAGCCCTTTGGTCGAACGCGTTGTTTCGTTCCTCTTCCAAAAACCTCTTCCTTTCCACGAGGTTTACCTCCCCCCTCTCTCTGAGGTTTGTCCGGGGGGGGGCGCGACCGGTCACAGCGCTCAAGATGGAAATGGCTCCATGAGGGCCTCCGATACTCCAAGATGGCCTCCAAGGTGGCTCAAGATAACCGACGATGCTTCAAGATAGCTTCCGGCATACCTCCAAGAGGCCTGACGAGGGCCACACGACGGTTCCAAGTGCTCTCGGAGCCTCCTCGGGCCCACCGAAGAGACCAACAATGGATTAAAAACCTAAGGAAAATCAATGAGTTGTGCCTTCTCGCCGTTTCGTGTCCGATTCGACTTTGAGGCCTCAAGATGGTCCCAAGATGGCCCAAGAAGGACCCAAGAGGGGCCCAAGAGGCTCCCCAAACGGCCCCGAGAGCGCCCAAGAGCGGCCCAAGAGCGCCCCAAGAGGGCTCCAAGAGCGCCCCGGATGTTGATGGTCCCCGGGGGGGGAGGCACATTGCCCCCCCCCACCCCCACCCCAGCCGCCCCACCCCTGATCGACGGCCTCCAAGATAGCCCCAAGGAGCCCCCCAGGGCTCCCAAGAGCCCCTCAAGAGAACTCCAAGAGGGCCCCAAGAGGGCCCCAAGACCACCCAAAAGAACCCCACGAGGACCCCAAGATGCCCCAAAAGAGTCTCAAGAGGGCACCAAGACCCGATTTTGAGAGCTCTGTCCTCGTCTTCGTTGTTCTCCTCCTCCTCCTCCTCCTCCTCCTCCTCCTCCTCCTCCTCGTACTCGTCCTCGTCCTCGTCCGTGCCCGCATCGTCTTCCTTGTCCTTTTCCTCCTCTTCCTCGTCGTCGTGCTCGTCGTCTTCCTCCTCCTCCTCTTCATCCTCCTCCTTCCCACGCCCCCACGCGGGCCCTGGGGATGGCCCGAAGAGGCCCTCCAAGGCCACCCCCTTGCTCCCAGAGATTTCTCTGTTCACCCTGGTTGACCGCTTTGTTTCTTTGAGCGACGCCAGCGCGTGGACCCCAAGCAGTGATCTTCACATTATCTGGCCGAAGCTATGCAAGCTATGCGGTGTGCACTTGATGTGGTGCAGCACACGTGCAGTCTAAGCGGCGTGCTCTACGTGCGAGTGAGGGAGGAGCATGCGGGGGATAACGCGCGCAGCGAGCGCGCACGGGCGAGTGCGGGAGGGAAGCCGCAGCGGTCCAGGAGAAGCGGGCGACGGCGAGACACGGGGCTACGGCCGTCCAAGCTCGCACCAGCGATGGCGGCACACAGGCAGTAGAGGTCCAAGTACTAAATGACGAGCGCGAGGCAAGGAGCCATAGCGGCCTGAGCACGCACGCGCGACTGCTCGACGCGGGGACATGGGCCATAGCAGACCAAGCGCTCACGGGAGAGGGCGACGCACAGGCCAAGGCGCTCCGAGCAGCCACAGCCATAACGGCCCAGGCGCACATGAGCGATGGCAAAGCGCAGGCCATGGAGGAGCAAGCAGGAGAAAGCCTCTGGGAAGGCCACAGCGGCCCACGCACCTACGACCGGCCCCGCGACACGGGGTCAGTGGAGCGGAATGCCATAGGACACCAGAGCGGTCCACGCAGCCAAAACCATAGCGGCTCGCGCACCTACGGCCGACCCCGCAACACAGGGCCAGCGAGTCAGATCACAGGTAAGGACCCGCTTGGTGCGAGCACTGCTTGGGAGATAACGAGGAACTGGCGGTCCAAACAGCAACAGCCATATAGAAAGAAAAGCCACAGCGGTCCAAACAGCCAAAGCCATAGCGGTCCAAGCAACCAGGGCCAACCTGACAAGACAGGCCATATCGGTCCACATAGCAACGGCCAACCTGCAGATTCAGGCGCAAGCAGTCCAAGCAGTCAACGCCATGGCCGTCCAGGCAACAACCACCGACCTGGCAAGAAAAGCGATAGCAGTCCAAGCAGCCAAGCCAAAGCGGTCCAAGCAGCCAACTCCGTGGTAGTCCAGTCAACAACGGCGACCTGGGAGAAAAAGCGATAGCAGTCCAAACAACCAAAGCCATGGCGGTCGGTCCATCAACGGCCAGCATAGCTACACTGGCCATGGCGGTCCACGCGGCAACGGCCCACCACGTAACTCATGGCCAGCTCCTGAGAGCACAAGCATGACGCCCTTGCTGCGAGCTCTGTTTGGGGGACTGCGCCGGTGCTGCCTTTGCTGCACACCAGGGTCGGTTTGTGATGCGTCGCATCGATTTGCCCAGACATGCCTAGCACGTCTCGCGCATACTCACAATACTGAGCATTGGTGGAAGTGCCATTTGCTAGTTAGCCGTATTAGCTTTGCTTTACATCGCATCGCCTTGCCTTACTTTATTCCCTACCTAGGCTCTGCCTAGAGGGTTCTTACTCGCTGGGCTTAAAGGGGCCGGGCAGTGGGCCCCGCCCCGGGCGATTCCCCCGGTCCCCTGAGAGCGGTTCCCCTAGTCCCCTGGGAGCTTTAGCTTTAGCTTTAGCTTTAGCTTTAGCTTTAGCTTTAGCTTTAGCTTTAGCTTAGTTTTCCCTTTCGCTTTAGCTTAGCTTTAGCTTTAGCTTAGCTTAGCTTTAGCTTAGCTTTAGCTTAGCTTTAGCTTAGCTTTAGCTTAGGTTTAGCTTAGCTTTAGCTTAGCTTTAGCTTAGCTTTAGCTTAGCTTTAGCTTAGATTGAGCTTAATTTTAGCTTAGCTTTAGCTTAGCTTTACCTTAGCTTCAGCTTAGCTTTAGCTTAGCTTTACCTTGGCTTTAGCTTAGATTTAGCTTAGTTTTAGCTTAGCTTTAGCCTAGCTTTAGCTTATATTTACTTTAGCATTAGCTTAGCTCTAGCTTAGCTTTAGCTTAGCTTTAGCTTAGCTTTAGCTTAGCTTTAGCTTGGCTTTAGGTTAGCTTCAGCTTAGCTGTAGCTTAGATTTAGCTCAGCTTTCGCTTAGCTTTAGCTTAGCTTTAGCTTAGCTTTAGCTTAGTTTTAGCTTAGCTTTAGCTTAGCTTTAGCTTAGCTGTAGCTCAGTGTCAGCTTAGATTTAGCTCAGATTTAGCTTATAGTTAGCTTAGCTGTAGCTTAGCTTTAGTTTAGTGTTAGCTTAGCTTTAGCTTAGCTGTGTCGTTGATTTAGCTTAGCTTTAGCTTAGTTTGAGCTTAGCTTTAGCTTAGCTTTAGCTTAGCGTTAGCTTAGCTGTAGCTTAGCTTTAGCTGAGCGTTAGCTTAGTTTTAGTGTAACGTTAGCTTAGATGTAGCTTAGCTTGACCTTAGCTTTACATTAGCTTTAGCTTAGCTTTAGCTTAGCTTTAGCTTAGCTTTAGCTTAGCTTTAGCTTAGCTTTAGCTTAGCTTTAGCGTATGTTTAGCTTAGCTGTAGCTTAGCTTTAGCTTAGCGTTACCTTAGCTTGACCTTAGCTTTACTTTAGTTTTAGCTTAGCTGTAGCTTAGCTTTAGCTTAGCTTTAGCTTAGCTTCAGCTTGGCTTCAGCTTAGCTTCAGCTTAGCTTCAGCTTAGCTTCAGCTCAGCTTTAGCTTAGCGTTAACTTTAGCTTATATTTAGCTTAGCTTTAGCTTAGCTTTAGTTTAGCTTTAGCTTAGCTTTAGCTTAGCGTTAGCTTAGCTTTAGCTTAGCTTTACTGTTACTACTAATGCTGCTTTCCAAGGGGCTCCAACTCCTAGGTAGGGACGCACTGCGATAATTATACTCTCAGGTCTGTTGTGGCTTTCTTTCTCACTAGGTTGTCATGCTCGGATACGGCTTGCATCACGATCGTAATCAAGGTCGCGCCAGGGCCATCAAAGTACCTCCAACTTGTAAGCCGCAAGCACATTATGCTGTTTGGTGACGTTGAGGTGTCCCGTGCCCGACGTCACTGGCCTTCGCGTCGAAACCTCGCACCCGAACGCCTCCTGGATATTCCCCACGAAGTACAAACGCAAATGCAAATGCAAAGCCCCCATGTCGGGGTCCTCAGCCCAGCACGCCCTTGAACATCGCCTTCTCTGCCCTGCGCGCCGATTGCATCTTCTCCTGGCGGGAAGCACGAGGCACCGCGGCAGAAGCATCAACCAGAAATACCCTGAGACTCGCTGCCAGAGCTGTTCGCCCAAAACACACGCGCCATGAGAAGGCAGCAGCAGCAAAAACGACAACCTCGCCTCAACCGAAAGAACAATCTACCCTGACACGCACGCAAAGCCTCGGAGGGACCGTACGGCGACCACGCGCGGCGGTGCCTTGCAGCACACCGCGCCAACGCCGATGGCAATACGTGCACACGGGCATTCCCAGGTACGCAGACAGGTGCAGACATACGCTGCTCTACCTCTCGCGCAGAAGCGCCAACGCAAGTCATTGGAAATACTGCTACACCTGCTGCGCGCATCAATACAAACCCACATACATGTCCGCCGATCTGGCGTAGAAGTTTCGAAAAAGTCTCAGACTCGGCTTTGCTGAGCTCAGCTGGAGGGGGATCCGTGCCACGGCTCTGTCAGGAAAGGAAGGGGGGAAGAAGCGGAAGAAGCGGTGTTAGGAGGGAGGGCGTTCTCGATTTGTTCGGGGCGGCCTGCTTCAGCCCTGTGGGGCTCCGCAGGGGGGATCACTGTCGAAGTGGCCCTGCCAGGGTAAAGAGGGGGGGGTCCAAGGGACCTGCCAGTTCTGAAAAGGCACCGCACTGGAGCGAGTACTCAACTCAACCTCCTTCCTGCTGCGCTGGTGCGCTGTCACGGCGGCGAGGCTTGTCGCAGGCAGCCGGCTTCGAAAAAATATTAGCCAGCGTGGACCCAAAACAGCGTGCGTCTAGCGATATATCCTCTGCAAACTACGTGGAGCAATAGATGTGGTGCATTATATGTGGTGCAGTATCGGCGGTGAAATCTACGTGATGCAACTTACGTGGTGCGATCTATGTTGAGCCATCCACGTTGTGCAATATATGTGGTGCGATCTATGCTGGGCAACCTACGAAGTGCAAAATATGCTGGGCAATATATGTGGACCCATATATGTAGTGCAATCTGTGTGCTGCATTATATGCGGTGCCATCAATGTGCTGCCATATACGTGGTACCAGGTATGTTGTGCCACTATGTGGTGCCATATACGTGGTGCGATCTATGTTTTGCAATATATGCGGTGCAACCCACGTGGTGCGTTTTATGCGGTGCAAGTCACCTTGCCGAACTTGAAGTTTTCGACTCCACTGCTCGCGCAGTCATCCCACCAACCCACCAGCAACTTGGTTCGCAAAACCCTTGCGGAAGCGATTGCGATGAGTGCTGAACGTTGGCTGGTGCATCTCTGCGGCCGCACTAGCCCGCACATGCTCGCGCGCACAAAGGCCAGCTAGTTTGGCGCGACCGACGCGATCGCGGTGGCGCTGACCGCTCGGCACATCTCAGCGGGCACTTCAGTGCGAGTCGGCGACTTGGGCGGGCGCGGTATCATGGCAGCGTCAACTGTAGACACGAAGATGAAAGTAGGGATGCTAGTGAAGATGCTGACGGCGACGACGGGGCAGCCAGTGACGGCGCCGATGCTGATCACGCCGACGACGATGACGGCGTCTTCGCGTCGGTGATGAAGATTTTGGAAGGAGTTCGACATGCGCGCGCGGCAGACGCGCCACAGTGGCCGGCATGGTATTATTTGACACGGATCGTGCCACCCCAACACGCACTCAAGGGCCTTCGAACAATTCCGACATGCGCCTTCGAAGCTCGTTTGGTAGCATGCTGTAAAATGGTTGAAAAAACCTATGGATGTCTTAAGCATTCGCAAGAGCGCGTGCGTAAGTTTGTTTTGAAAATCCGTGTTCCGAAACGCGGTGTTTTTATATGTTTTTTGACACTCGATTTTGAAATCCCCACGAAACCTAAGGTAATTGAAGGATTTCGGCATGCGCGCGCGACGACGCGCGCGTGTGCACTTCGTCCCGTTTCTGTTGCAAGGGATTCTTGAAAACTGATGATTTGTGATAAATTGGTGTGCGTGCATAACTGTTGTTGCAAAGGATGGCGGGGGGTCGGATAAGGGCCCCCCCTGGGATGGTGGGAGTTCGTATGTCGGATGAACGCTGGGGCAGAATCATTTGCAAATTGCAATACGAAAAAAGGGGTGGATAATCCAGGGGGGCCGCCAGATCGAAGCACAGGCCCAGACGATGGGCGGCGACGAGGCGGCGACGGGGCAGCGACGGCGACAACATAGCCGCCAGACCGACGCGTAGGCCCAGATCTTTAGAAAACAAGGTCATCCCTAAGTGCAAGCACTGGTTGGGAAAAAGATCGGACGCTATACGGGCCGTGGCTGCTGTGAATTTAAAGTCCGAACGGCCCTCGTGACCATGGGCGGATCGTTTCGGCTCGAACGTTCTCGGAAACCATAGCTGCTGCGAGCTCACTATCGAAAGGGCGCTCATGCAATATGCAACATGACATGAGAACTGCAGAACGTTCCCTGGTGACTCGACGTTGAAGGGGTGCGGCACTGAGTGTGGGGGACTTCAACAGCTTGTGAAGATCATGTCGTCGAGGTTTGGCGACACAGAAAACTTGCCATGACGATTCGACTGACGGTCGCTGAAAGAATGCTGGACGATTCCAGTCCCAGCCGAAGCCATTCCGTTACTTTTTCTGGTGTCGGCGCGCGCACATATCAATGAAGTTTACTGAAAGTACGCCCGAGAGTTCCAGATGGGCGTTTCATTCTCAAGATTGACCCGCGGTTGCTGAGAACGTACTATACAAACGGCTCTCTTCAACCTGATCCACATCAAAGTGCAATGGCCCCGCTTCCCTGGGCCAGCCAGTTCGGCGTGAACGCTCCTGCACGCACACACACACACACACACACACACATGGCATGCAGTAAAAACAACTGCGGCACGTTCATTGGAGGGCGCGTCGCAAAGCCCAGCACATGGAACCGCACACCATGAACACACCAGGCACCGCCTTTGGAGTGGACTTCGTGCCGTGGGGCCCTGGTTCTTCAAGCCCCGCGGATCCGAGAAGCGGGACCCACACAGAGGCCCCGAGCCAAGTAAAGCCGACCGTCTTGATACTGAGGGGCACCGATAGTGGGGGGGGACTGGCTCAGAGGGGGTAACATCGACCTGGAAACGGCGATACATCGACGCTAGATCGGCGATGGGCCCCCGATATCGAATCCGCAGGTTCCTGGGCGGGGTGGGCTATCAGGCCTCTATCGGTGATCAATCGGCGGTTGGGTGTCGATGCATGCCCCCCAGAGCCTCTTCCCCCCTCACGTTGCCGCTGAGATGCTGTTCGAGACGCCGGCGAAGGCGGCGGCCGAGCGGCCACGACAGCCGCCGAGCTGACGGCGGTCTCCTTGACGCGCGCCACCTCGGCCCTGACAGCGGCGTCGCCAGGCTGCAGCCGCTGAGCGGCCTCCAAGTCACGCAGGGCGGCCGGCAGGTCTGCGCCTCGGCCACCCGGCGCAGGCTGGAGGGATGTCGGCGACCGGCGGCGCAGCCGACCGACTGACTACCTACCAGGCCACCCCAACCCAACCCGAAGACCCGAATTTCGGGCTGGGGGGGTACGGGCTCCACCTGTGTTTTTTCCCATGCTCCTCGACGACCCCCCCGCACTGGGAATGGAGGGCACCTTGGGGCCTTCGGGTTGGGCTGAGGTGGTTTGGCGGGCGGTGACCGACGGGGCGCAGATGGGCCGCCAGCGATCGGGGCGCGGGAAGCCCTGCCGGGTCGGCAGCGCGAGGGGCGCGGGCGGGACGGCAGTCTCCGGGCGCGGCGGCGCGCGCGCGCGGCCGAGGCCGCCGCCGAGCGCGGCGGCCGCCACGCCCCGCCGGAAGAGCGCCTCACAGGGGGGGGGGCGGCAGAGGCGGAGGCGGAGGCGGAGGCGGCGGCCAGCGCAGAGGCGGAGGGGGAGGCGACGAGGCGGCGGCGGCACGAGGCGGCGGCGGGAGGCGGCGGCAGAGGCGGAGGCGGAGGCGGGAATCGGGGACTCCGCCTCGTGCCTTTCGCAGGGTTTCCTTCTGAGACTGTCTGACGTTTGAGCCCAGTCCACCACAGGGCCCCAAGAAACCCTCAAGAGGCCCCGAAGAGGCCCCAAGAGGCCCCAAAACAGCCCCCAAGAGGCTTCAAAACGGCCCCAAGGAGGCCTCCGAGAGGCCTCCCGCGACATCCATACGATCATCCTAGAGGCCTACGAACCAGAACCCAGGCACGGTGGCGGGACGGGCCGAAGAAGACCATGAGATCCGCCGCTCCTTGTTGGCTTGCCACAGGGGGTGCCAAGCGTGCTGAACCCTACCGTTTTTGGTTTCGGTTCCTAAACAACTCCCCGGTTGGTTTCGGTTTCTTTCCTAAACAGTTCTTGTTGCGCTGGTGCGCTGCTCCCCTCGGGGGCGCACAAACATGGATTAGCGATCCCTGGATTTGGCGCGCGGTCGCCACATCCATGGATCGGGGGAGGTGCCCTCCCCGAAATGCGGCCGGCGCCGCCTCGCTCGGCGGCGGAAATCCGCGATTTCCCATGGAAATGGGACCTGTCGCTAATCCACGCCTCCTGGATTGACCTGGTCAGTCGATGCTTGTTTGCGTGATCCAGCATGATGGCATGGGAGGCTCCCGAGGAGGAAGAGGAGGCGGAGAAGGACAAGGAGGAGGAGGAGGAGGGAGGAGAAGAAGGAGGGGGAGGAGGAGGAGAAGAAGGACGAGGAGGCGGAGGAGGAGGAGGAGGAGAAGGAGGAGGAGGATCCATGTTTGCGATCGCCTGATCCCCTCGGGGGGGGGGGGAAGCACACCCTGCTGTCGAGGGCGAGCGGGCCCTGGAGGCAGATCCTCCGAGCAGCTCGGCCTGTGCGCAGCACGCGTGCTGGAGCCAGCGCTGGAGAGGAGAGGGGAGCGAGGAAGAGAGAGGAGAGAGGGGGAGGGGGGGAGGGATGAGGAGGCAAGATATGTCGAGGGGGCGGATGACCGCATGGCTGGTGGGGCCCCGCAAGCTTGGTAAAACAGGTGGAGGAATGGGAGGAAGAGGAGAGGAAGGAGAAGGAGGAGGAGCCCAGCGTACCCAGGGGTCGCTCCACCCGCCTACGCGGCGGGGCCAAGCGCACCTGTGGCGGGCCGCGGGGGCACGGGCGGCACGGGCCTCGACGAACGAGCCGAGGACGGGGTCGTCAAAGACGACGGTCGGAAAGCCGTATTTAATTGCTGAGGAATAGGGTGGAGGGCAACATGGGGGCGAGGCGAGACCGAAAGGACCTCGACGAGAGGGGGCGGGGCGCCCGCGTCGAGACAGACACGCGGCATGGCGATCAGCGTGGGCGAGGAGCGAGGGGAGACGGCAGAGGGCAGCAGCAAAGAAGGCTCAAGGGACAAGGAGGGGGGAAGATGCCAGGCGGATCGTGCGAGCTGGCATGCGGGGCGAAGGGCGTGGGAGGGAAGAGCGACGGCGAGCGGCCTTTTCCTGCGGAGGCCTCACGGAGAGAGGGGCACATCGGCAAAGATGCCGACGGAGCGAGAGGTGTCCTCTGGGAGCACGGTGCCGCCGAAATCGGACATCCAGTGGCGGAACGAGGAGACGGAGTAGCCATTCGGGAAGCGCCCCCAGCCACTGGAGTCGACGGAGTAGCAGTCAGGGTCCACGGCGCTCTTGGAAGGGGTCCAGACAAGGCCACCGATGTACAGGGTCGCCGCGACGTAGCCGAACCAATCGGGGTCGTCGCTAGAATGCATCCCAGACGGGAGCGCCTCGCCACCAGGGACACCACGGCGCCCGAGACCCGCTCCTCGCAATTAACTCGAGCCTGCGGCAATGGGCTCGAGGAGCACCCATGCCCAGGGCCACGCGTTCTGACATCAGCACGGCCAGGAGGCAGACGGTGAAGGGCGCCACACGCCAGGTGAGACCACTCCTCGCAATTTACTCGTGGAGCCTGGAACGGCGGGCTCGAGGAGCACCCGCCACCAGGACTTCGCGTTCTGACTCCGTGCGCCACAGCACCAGCGGGCGACAGGGACAGCTCCTCGCAATTACCTCTAGATGCCTGAGCAGATGGGCCACTCGAGACAGAGGAGCACGATGTACTATGCTCACGCGGCGCTGCGCCAGCAACACCAGGTAGGTCCTCAAGACGGCCGACGCGCTCAGGCGTCGCGATCAGCGTGGCAGGCGTTGGCGGGGCCGCAGGACGGAGGTCCATTATGACCAGGCCATCCGAGTCCTCCTCCTCCGAGCGAGGCCACGCGCGGGGCGAGGGGGTCGAAGGCGAGACCACTGGCGCAAGCCGAGGGCTATCAGGGTGATCAGGGCGCCGCGCAGGACATCTCCGAGAGTGGGGCGGCGATGGGGGGCTGGAGCCGGGCACCGCAGACGCCGTAGCCAGAAGAGCACTCCAGGACGCCGAGGTCGCAGAAGCCGATGATGAAGATGAACTGGCGGAGGAGCTCGAAGAGCGCGCCACTCGGGGAGGCCATTGGGGCGCGAGCGAGACACGCTCCGCCTCTGAGATGCGAGACGGGTGCGCGAGACGCATCGCACGCACTCCCGCCAGGGCACAAGCGTGAATCTGCTGCGCGGACAGCGGCCAGGCAGGAATGGCACGGGCCTCACTGTACATGTTGTAGGCGGCCGTGAGCGCAGAGAATGAGGCAAACCAAGGGGCCACCAGGCCCCAGCGCGAGATCCAGTCAAGTGGTATGGGGCGAGCCAAAGCGCGCCTGAGCGCACGGTACATGATCGGACAGCGAGCGTAGTGTCGGAGAGAGTCGATACGGTGCACACAGCCGAACGCACATTGCCGCTGGCCATGCGGAGAGATGATCCGCGCCGAAGTCATCCACCCATCACACCAAGTGCACACCACCGCCCACGCCCACGAACACGGGCAGCGAGTCAGAGCATGCACACAGTTGCCCCAGTCAATCGAGTCGAGACGGTCCCTCGAGCGGCCAGCGAACTTCATTAGACGACGTCGCACCAGAACATGCAGCGGACGAGCCGTACACGACTGCGCACGCAGTGCAAGATGCAGCACGCTGAGGGCGAGGACGTTGGCCAGGAGCGGGAGACAGGGCAGCACGGGCAGCAGGGAGAGCGGCGGCAAGCAATGTATCCAGACCAGAGCCCGCAGGGGCCCGCCCGAGGGCGGCGGCCGCCAGGTTCTCGGCCAGCGTGGGGGACTGCCAGAAGCCAGGGTACAGACGGCGCTGCGGGAGCATGTCGAGCGTCACGTCGGAGTCCCCCATGACAATGTGCTCGCGCATGCGGGACAGGATGGGCTCCCAGCAGGGGCATGTGAGCAATGCGGCGTGGGTGAAAGAAGCCACGGCCAGGTGCGCCCACCGAATGATCCTCGGGGCTCCCCAACGCTCCAGTTGCACCCAGAAGTCAAGGCCGAAGGTGCCAAGGGGAAGACGGAATATTCTCCCGCACGCAGCGCAAGCGATCAGGCCCCGGAGGCGGGCGCGCGGCGCGCGCGCGGCGACCCGTAAAGGATGACGGGGCGCCGCGCCCAAGCCGTGCGGCGCCCTCAGACGACCTCGTCCAACGAGGCCATCTGGACGGCCAGGTGGCCGTAGCAGCGCCGCAGACCTGCCTGAGTAAGGCGGGGAGGGGGGGAGGGGGCCGAGAAGCTGCAGGACCTGAACGGGCGCGAGCGGCAAGGAGAATAGAGAAGCGCATTCTCCCGCACGCAGCGCAAGCGATCAGGTCCCGGAGGCGGGCGCGCGGCGCGCGCGCGGCGACCCGTAAAGGATGACGGGGCGCCGCGCCCAAGCCGTGCGGCGCCCTCAGACGACCTCGTCCAACGAGGCCATCTGGACGGCCAGGTGGCCGTAGCAGCCATACCCAGGCTCAAAGCCCTTGCGAAGTGACAAGGTTTTGGCGGGCGGCCGCGAGCAGAAGGGGCCACGCAGTGGGGCCACAGTTCAGAAAGGAAGCGACAAGGAAGTCGCTCGCGCCATCGAAGTAGGTGACACGGGCCCGAGCGGCATCAGGCAAGGCGGAAAGCATCGCGGCGGAAGCATCGTCGTGCAAGAAGCGCTCCGCGCTAGACGCCTGGCGCCAGCGACTACGCCAGAAGATACGACCAATATCTTCTGTGGCCGTATGAAAGTCTGTCGCGCCTGAGCCGCGGGGGCAAGCAGGGGTCAAGTGGAACCCCGCTGGCGTCTCGGCGAGCGGTACGCCTAACGCCAAAAGTAAATGGTTCCACCGAGTACGGAAGCCGCTTTGACCAAAGGTCGACAGAGGATCGGTGGGACCCAAATGCCGAAAGACCATCTCCAAAACCCGAACCACCGCTTTGTCAGAGCACCAGGCGTGCTGTGGCGGGTAAGACATGCTGCTCACTGGATCGGGAATGGTCATCCAAGCGTTGCCTGAGGACTCAAGGCAATCCGAAGGCAACAAAAGGTCACAGCGACGGGCTGACAGCAGCTCGTCGGGCTTCAAGGACATCGTGAACCCTGCCAGCAGCAAGGCGGCCATGACTGGCCAGTCCCAAGTGAAACAAACTGCCACCATAGCGCGCAAGAGCGCTCGTGGCATTGGCGGCCGAAGGCGAGGTGGCTGAGACCGCTTCCAGGCCCTCGCCACTCCCCACGCCTCGGTGAGAAAGGGCTTCCAATGAGGGAGACGTGCCTGGACGCCTATGATCGCGTGCACCAGGATGTTGAGCGGGAAACCTGCGTCGTGCAGCCACACGCCGAACGTTGCGAGGAACCTCGACAGCAGGATCCCACTACGATACAGCGGAAGTGGCGCCACCCCTGCGTCCTCGGCGCACCACAATTCGAACGCGTAGAGAGCTCTTTTGCGCCGATCGCCGGCCGAAGTCAGAACAGCGCCTGACC